GTATAAACATTGAACAATATATAAGATGACACAAGACTTAATTAACTGATTAAATTTTGTAAAAATAGGCTTTTACTTACAATAGGCTCTTTCAGGTCAGGAGAATGAGAACCATTATTGTTACTTGTTTTTGGCATATTGAGTATGCCACAGGGAATTTGCCAGACTCTGCCGTGCGGGCAGTATATTTTTGGTAGCCTGTCGGGTTCTCCAGAGTTTCATTTCATTTTTTTCATTTCATCATCCTGTTAATCGTCGATTGCCTCGAGCAGGCCCCAGTAACGTCTCTTTCATCCTAGCCCTGAGATTATATTCACGGCTCTTTAGGAGAAGGAGACCCATCATTGTTACTGGTATTTGGCATATTTGGTAGGCCACGGGGAGTTTGCCAGACTCTGCCCTGTGGGCAGGCTACATTCGATAGCCTGCAAGTTTGTCCAAAGTAGGAATGAGATAATAAGATGTCATAAAAAGATGTCCTGATAAGACGTTTTGGGAGCTTGATTTTTTAAGAGGTAACATGGCCGCAAATGCATCTGCACACTTCCGGGAGCTGGGTTTTATAGTCTCTGGGTCTTGGCCGTTGATGGGATTACACGGTGCCAGGGGGCAGTGGGTGGATATGACGCCTACCTACTGGAAGATGGGGGATCTGGGTGGAGGAGGCCCAGTTCCAATCCGAGCAGGCTTGGAGATTTCAGCCCCTGGACCCGCATATCTGGGTTTCTCTGCCGGTTCCTTCATGCATGAGGCTTGTCCAAACGTGTGGAGAGTGGTTTCAACACGGCTGTGGCTGTTTTTTTATTTAATTTATTAATGACATTTATTAAATAAATAAATAAAAACCTAAAATTCATCTAGAAAAATGACCCCCCACGAATAGTTAAAACAATCTTAGGGAAAAAGAAGAGTTAGGCATTAACTTCCTCAACTTCAAACTACGGCAAATTGGTAGTAATTAAAACATCATGTCACTGAAATAGACAGACCTGCAGGTCAATGGAATAGAGTTAAATATTCTGTCACAGACCCTCAAATATATGATCCTCTAATCTTTGATAAATGATAAATAATATGAAGTGTAGCAAGGAAGCTTGTTCAACAAGCAGTGCTGGGAAAATTGGGCAGCTACGTGAAAAAAATTCTGACATCTTTCTAACACCAGACAGAAAAGCCAGATCACACTGGATTAAAAACCTCAATTTCAGACCTATATGCATAGGATACATAGAGAAAAACATAGGCAAACCTCTCCACGACACTGAAACTAAAGGTATTTTTAAAGATGAAACACCACTGACCAAGCAAGTAGAAGCAAAGTTAAACAAATCGAACTAGATTAAACTAAGAAGCTTCTGCATCTTGAAAGAAATGGTGACCAGGTTACAAAGTCAGCTTATGGAATGGAAAAAAAGTATTTACCCAACACCATCTGATATACCCTAGGGGGCCAAAAACGCAAAGCACAAAATCCTTCTACACTTCTCTGTTCATTGCAGCATTCTACACAATAGCTAAAATCTGGAAACAGTCAATTGCCCGAAAACAGAAGAATGGATAAAGAAACTATGTTACATCTACACAATAGAATACTTCCTAGCGGTTAGGAAAAAATCTGGTAATGAAATTTGCTTATAATTGGATGATAGTGAAGAGTATCATTCTACATGAAATGAGTCAGCAGGAGAGGAAAAGGCATAGACTGATTATACTCATTTCTGGTATGTATAAAAATATAAGACTAATACCCAAACACAGTAGAAATGAAGGCCAGGAGTACTGACCCACAGCTGAAAGGTTGCCACAAGTGGGAGAGGGGGAGGGCATTTAGAGTAGAAGGGATCACTGTGATGAAGAAAATTGGAAATCATCACTCTGAACAAGATTGGAGTGCTGGAAGGTGGCAAAAGGATATAAAGGACAACCTTTCGGTACCTATATGCAAACTATAATGCCCAAAAGAAAAAAGAAAGTGAGAATAGAAAGAAGAAAAGTGTCTGCAGTAGAGGCAGGATGGCAGGGAGTGGCAGGATAGAAACTGCGAACATTGGTTGTGGGAAAGGTACACTGATGAAGGGACAGGTTTTAGAACATTGTATGACTGAAATACAATCATCAACAACTTGCAGCTGTGCATCTTACAGTGATTCAAAAATAATTAATTAATAATAAAATTTGGTTTGTCATAGAACATTGATTATAGAACTAAAGAGAGGTCAGGAAAGAAATTGAATGGAGGAAAGCTAGAAGAGGCAATTGGAGGATAACAAACTTACAAACATGCCAGTTTAGAGGTTGGAGCGTTAGTACAGTAAACTGGACATTTGCCTTACATGCATCTGACCTGGGTTTGATTCCCGAGCATCTAAGATGATCCCCTAAGCAGCAGTGTTTCCAGAGCTCAGAACCATAGTTGGGTAGGCTCCTTCAAAATGTGTCAGTTTAATTATTTTCATATAAAATTGTGATTTAAAATTTCTGGTTATTTGTTTATATTCTTTGTATTCAATATTAGTGTTACTGAGGCCTAGATGAGCTAAGTAGAATCCAGATTTTCAGAGATATCCAGAAAACTCAATTTGCCAGTCAGTTACTATAAATAATTGTCATGTCAATTTACTGATGATTTCAAACTGATGTATCAGACCTGCTCTTTGTGTTTTTTTTCAGAACTTGATATTTTTGCATCAAAAGAGGAAAACCTGGGCTGGAGTGATAGCACAGTGGGTAGGGCATTTGCCTTGCATGCGGCAAACCTGGGTTCTATTCCCAGCATCCCATATGGTCCCCAGAGCACTGCCAGGAGTAATACCTGAGTGCGTGAACCAGGAGTAACCCCTGTGCATCGCCAGAGTGACCCATAAAGCAAAAAAATAGATAAAATAAAATAAAGTCTTTAAAAAATTAAAAAAGAGGAAACCTATTTCCTTTCTCTAGCTAAGCAGAGTGGCTTCATTTTAATTGTCACCATCCTACACTCTTAATACTGCTGTAATTTCCATGGGCTCTCCTTAGGACCGTGAGTGCATCTCTTAAACACTTTGAGGATGTGTACTGTCCAGTTATGTATAGTAAAGTTACAAACACTAACTTGTGCTTATTTTCACATCCTACCCAACATTGGCAATAACAATCTTTTAAATATTTACTATCTTACATGTGTGAGGTTATATTTCATTGTGATTTAATTTGCATTTTGCTAATAAGAAGTAATTATAAGCTTTTCATATGTCTTTGAACCATCTATATACCTTTGGGTAAGTGTCTATTTAGGTCTGATGATCAACTGTTTAATTGAACTATTTGGATTTTTTTGGTTTTTATTTATTTTACCTTTATGATTGATGCTGAGTTGTATAAGTTCTTTATATATTTTAGACATTAACCTCTTGTTATACACTTGATATATTTTATTTAAATACCTATTGCCTACTATACTGAACAGTACATATCTAGACAATATGAATTAGTCCAATTAGGAAGACTGTGTAAATTAAGACTTAAACCTTGATGCTTGCAATGACTATATAATTTTGGCCAGATCTTATGTAAAGCTTGGTTGCCTATTTAAAAAGATGGAGATATACAACCTCACAACATAGTGCAGAATATCAAGCATCAGCACAAAGCTATTAGTCTTTAAATGATAATGGAGAAATTGAAGCTGGAGAGTGACTTAGAGTTACTTTGCAGTATCATCAGTTTTTTCATTTTTCATTTCATCATCCTGTTAATCATCGATTGCCTCGAGCAGGCCCCAGTAACGTCTCTTTCATCCTAGCCCTGAGATTATATTCACGGCTCTTTAGGAGAATGAGACCCATCATTGTTACTGGTATTTGGAATATTTGGTATGCCACGGGGAGTTTGCCAGACTCTGCCCTGTGGGCAGCCTACATTCAATAGCCTGCAAGTTTGTCCAAAGTAGGAATGAGATAATAAGATGTCATAAAAAAAAGTTCTGATAAGAAGTCGCGTGGCCGCGAATGCGGCCGCGCGGTTCCGGGATCTGGATTTTATAGTCTCTGAGTCTTGGCCGCTGATGGGATTACACGGCGCCAGGGGGCCAGGTGGTGGGTGTGACCCCCGCCTGCTGGAATTTGGAGGATCTGGATGGAAGATGCTCGATTCCAATCCGAGTAGGCTTGGAGGTCTCGGCCCCGGAACCCGCGTGGCTTTGTCCCTCTGCCAGTACCTTCATGTGTGCGGACAGTGGTCTCAGCATGGTGGTGGCTGGTCCTGGAGGTCTTCGGCTGCCGGAGCCCCGGTCGGGGCGGGGAGGAAAGCTCAACCCGCTCCCCTCCACGGGGTCCCGGCGAGGGACACCCAGGCGCGGGGGCAAAAGACTGCAGTGTTCTCGTCCGGGATCTGGATTTTATAGTCTCTGAGTCTTGGTCGCTGATGGGATTACACGGCGCCAGGGGGCCAGGTGGTGGGTGTGACCCCCGCCTGCTGGAATTTGGAGGATCTGGGTGGAAGATGCTCGACTCCAATCCGAGTAGGCTTGGAGGTCTCGGCCCCGGAACCCGCGTGGCTTTGTCCCTCTGCCAGTACCTTCATGTGTGCGGACAGTGGTCTCAGCATGGTGGTGGCTGGTCCTGGAGGTCTTCGGCTGCCGGAGCCCCGGTCGGGGCGGGGAGGAAAGCTCAACCCGCTCCCCTCCAAGGGGTCCCGGCGAGGGACACCCAGGCGCGGGGGCAAAAGACTGCAGTGTTCTCGTCCGTGATCTGGACGGGATTTGGATCAAAATTGTACTCTCTTAACTAGGTAATTTTTTCTCTTTTTTCAAATAAACCTATTTAGGAAGTACGTGGGTGGTGAAAGAGAATCCCCAAATAAAGGAAAGAAAATGACACACGCCAAAGCAAGAGGTGAGAGACTCCAAGTAAAATGTGTAGTTTGATGTTTTCTTATAGAATTATCCTAGAAGAGTAGTTGTCCAAACAACAGTTCCATTGATATTGATATAAAAATATCTTATACATGTAAAGAATGTGTACCTTGGTGAAGCCTATTTGCTCCTTCCGGAAATTTTCCAGGGGTTTGATCAGCAAATCACTAGCATTGTGTACCTAGAGAGAGAAAAATATACAAAAAGTTTAGATTATCAAGTTTCAGATTCTTGAATCCTTACTAGGACAGCCCCTTATATTATTCTGTCCCAGAAAATATTAAGACCTAGTTTCCCTGAAACTTGACATATATTCTGATCTGGATTTTTATCAATGAATATCTAGAGTTTTGTGCTGCAGAAACAGGAATTATTATTTATATGTGGAACATAATTTAGAAAGGAAAAGGGGGAAAAACATGAAAAGGCTAATTGAATTGACTGTGGGTGAGTTAACAGTAATAGCATCAGAATAAGTTCCACTAAAAACTGTTTCCATTCCTAACTTGGTGCTTGAAAAACTATAATATATCCTTCAGAACTTGTGGTACATTATAACATCATGGAGAAATCTGGATTAAGTCTTCAAATGACCTCATCATGGATGTTCAAAGGCTGATAACTGTGAGAAGTTGGACGTCCCTGTCCATGTTTTGATATTGATACTTTGATTTTGATATTGAGCATTGATATTGCTATGCAGATACAAAATATTCATGTCCCATGATCACTGCCAGGAGTGGTCACTCAGCACAGAGCCCGGAGTAAAGCACAGATGGGTTGGCAAAAAAATACAAAAAGGAAAAATGGAAGCCATTTTTAAACTAACCCCACAAAAGTCTATCAAGTTAGGCCACTAACTTGATGACATCCAGGTTTTATGAGCCTCTAGTTCTATGCCTATTTATTATTCAATATACAGCTAAATAAACATTTCATCAAGCTACAATCATAGCTTAGAAATAAAAAGGCACAGTAACTTTCCAGTTCTAGTAAAAATGTTAGAGCATCTTTCTTGTCCAACAGACTCAAAACTTACATAGCAAATGAATCATGTTCTATTAAAATAGTGTACCCATCTGGAAACAAAGTAACTCACCGGAATCCAAGATATACCACTGGGAGTCACTTTTCTTCTTTACTACTATACCTTTCAAAAGATGTTCAAAAATTCTATTATACTTATTAAAAGGTAAGTTTCCAGACACAATTAGTGGAGCTATCTGTCTACTGGAGCTAACATATGAAAGGAAAGACTGCATTGCTGCTTTGAACCAATAAGCATAACAAAAGTAGAAATATGTAATTTCCCAGGATAATTACAAAGCTAATAGTCGAAGACACAGCATCCACCAGGTTCTCTTAGAACACACAAATGCTTAAGCAGAATCCTGAACAACCATGTAAAAATACACTGAGATTACCAAATTAGAAATGTAAAAAGTGATAAGTGAGTGAAGTCCAGATGAGTGATTGAAGTCCCTCATATCAACCAGCCTCCCAAGCGAATAAAGCTATGTGAAGATCACTCTGATGACCCCTTCTGAATTACTAGAACAAAAAATCATTAAATTAAATGTTTTTCATTTAAGCCACTAAGTCTTTTTCAGTTTCACAAAGGTTAACAAAATGGGTGGCCACCTGGGAAACACTGAGGAAGTTTTCTTTTGAATAAAAAGTGAATATTTTCAATACCTATGAAAATACCCATGAAATTTTAAAACAGACCAAACACTGTTGAAATGTATGTAGAATAATAAATTCCCTTCCTTTACCTAAAGAGATCCTAGAAAAAAATAAAGTAGGCACCTTGTCTTTCCTCAATATCAAACAATACTAGCACTGCACTGCATTTTCCTCCCGTTGTTCATCAATTTGCTCGAGCAGGCACCAGTAACATTGTGAGACTTGTTGTTACTGTGTTTGGCATATCGAATACGTCATGGGTAGCTTGCCAGTCTTTGCCGTGAGGTCAAGATACTCTCCGTAGCTTGCCACCCTCTCCAAGAGGGGCGGAGGAATCGAACTCGGGTCGGCCAGGTAGGCTACATACAACGCAAATGCCCTCCCTGCTCAAGCCCATCAAACAATATTAAAAAGCTAAAATAATCAAAACTGTCGCTGTCACATTTCTCCCTTTGTTCATCGATTTGCTTGAGCAGGCACCAGTAATGTCTCACAACAAAATTGTGAGACTTGTTGTTACTGATTTTGGCATATTGAATGTGTCACGGGTAGTTTCCCAGGCTTTGTCGTGCGGGCAAGATACTCTTGGTAGGTTACCGGGCTCTCCAAGAGGGACAGAGGAATTGAACCCAGGTTGGCCGTATTCAAGGCAGAGGCCCCATTCGCTGTGCTATCACTCCAGCCCAATCAAAACAGTATGGTACTTAAATAAGGATAGACTCTTAAATCAACAGAAAAGACTTAAGAATCCAGAGAAAGGTGTTTAGATATATAGATAGTTAATCTTCTATAAAAAGGCAAGGAAGTATAAATTGGAGAAAAGAAAGTCTCTTTAACACGTTGTGCTTTGGAAAAATGGTAAACTACATGAATATAATTCAGACTCCTATATAACACCATGCCCTAAAGTCTAATCAAAATGCTATACAGACTACAATATAAGATTTAAATTCCAAGACTGTATTTCGGAAAACAGGTAGAATACTTCATGACATTGAAGCTAAAGAAATCTTTAAAGATTCAATGCCTTTGACAAGCAAAGGGAAGCAAAGATAAACAAATGGGAATACATCAAACTAAGAGATTCTGCACCACAAAGGAAATAATAACCAAAATATAAAGTCACTTTACAGACTAAGAGACAATATTTACCCACCACATATCTAAAGAAGGTTCATGTTAGATATATCAAACCAAGGTAGAACTTTACTATAAAAATTAACTGGCTTAATGTAGAAATGTGGGAGGAGATGAACAAAACTTTCTCACGAAAAATAGAGGTACAAAGCTATAAGAAAAAAACACTGTGAATTGCTTTATCATAGGGTAAATGTAAGTAAAAGCAACAATGAGATAGTAGTTTACAGAGAATGAGACCAGTGCATATCACAAAGTACAACGATAACCAGTGCTGTTGTTGATTTGGCAAAAATGGACCCTTACCCACTGCTGGTGGAAACGTTGACTGGCCCAGCCATTTTAAATGAATATGAACACTTTCTTTTTTAAAACATAGCAAGTGACCTGTATGACTCAAAAATTCCACTTTCCGCTTCTATATCAAGGACTCAATATGTAGAAGATACATTTGCATAGCACATAAGCACAAGGACTCAGTATATAGAAGATACATTTGCATAGCACATAAGGTAGGGTATCTGCCTTGCACACGGCCGACCTCAGTTCGATTCCTCCACCCCTCTCGAAGAGCCCGGCAAGTTACCGAGAGTATCTCGCATGCACAGCAAAGCCTGGAAAGCTACCCGTGATGTATTTGATATGCCAAACACAGTAATAACAAGTCTCACAATTTGTTGTGAGATGTTACTGGTGCCCGCTCGAGCAAAACGATGAAAGATGGGAGGGCAATGGACAGTGGACAGTGGATATTCACAATAGATAAAAACCTAGACGCAAACCAAGAGTCCAATAACAGAATGACAGGGTATTTTTTTTAAACGGTGGTATATTTATGCAATTGAATACTATTTGACTTTAAGAAAATAAGAAATAATGCTGTTTGCTGTTATGTATATGGATCTGGAGGGTATCATACTGAATGAAGTTAATGAAAAGAACAGGAACAAATACAGAACTAACTTATGTTTGGGATATAAAAATCACAGTAGGGGAGAATAATGAATTCCAAAATGCAACAGAAACTGAAAACGTATCTCCAGTTTGAAGCTTACCAGAGGGGGTGTGAGAGAGACACTGGAACAATAGTAGAGAAAAGTGGACATTCTGGTGAAGTGTGTGGTACTGGCATGATTTATGTATGAACCACTACCTATAAAGACTTTTGTAAACCATGAGAACTAAAATGCTTTTTATAATGTATGTATAACTACTTATCACTTAAGAACAATAAAACCACTAAGAACAATAAAACCCAATAATGGCACTGTTGATTGTTTTTTTCTTCTCTAAGAAGGATCATGTGCATAAACAGTTGTGCCAGCAACTTCTCACACAAGATCCATAAATGAGATGGTGAGCCAACACTCACCAGAGTCGTGGGAATCACTCAGAGTTGTGGGACAAGAGATCACAATGTAGCACTGTAGCACTCCCATTGTTCATTGATTTGATCATGCAGGCCCAGTATCGTCTCCATTGTGAGACTTGTTACTGCATTTGGCATATCGAATACATCACAGGTAGCTTGCTAGGCTTTGCCATGAGGGCAAGATGTTCTCGGTAGCTTGCCAGGCTCTCTGAGAGGGGCGGAGAAATAGAACCTGGCTCGGCCAGGCCAGCAGCTTGCAAGGTAAACGACCTACCGCTGTGCTATCGCTCAATTAAATAAAAATTAACAAATTCTTTTATGTAACCAACAAGAAGTAGGATAAAGAATCTCTAACTTCTATTTTATTATTTTTACTTTTTGAAATTGTGTATACAAAACAGATCAAGAAATAATGAAAATGTCAGGAACGTGGTAGACCACAACTCAGTGGTAGGCCACAACCTGCATTGCATGCGGTACTGGATTCAAACACTAGTACTAAAAAAATTAAAACAAAAAATATACTAACTCTCCATACTTCTCTCAACATAGGCCCTGATAACCATAATGAAAAAATTTTAAAATTATATGCAGATAAATAGAACAACTACAGATGAAGGGAAGTATCATTAATTTTTATAGTGGTATCTGAATTCAATGAAGCCACATGAGATCAACATTGCCTTTTAGATCGACATTGTTAGAAGCCCTATTTTTAATTTTTATCTCCCACCTATTTTCATTAAAGTACCATGATTTGCAATACTATCAAAGACAATCTTATGCACACATTGTTCCAAAATCAGAACCAACACCAGAGTTCCTGATTCCCTCTACCCTTGCCCATCTGTATCTCTGCCATCTATACCCTTGCCCACGCCATGTATGAATCCTATTCGGGTTGTTGGGCATTCAAATGAATCAATGCTCATGGCCAAGTTTGTGTTGACAATGACACCGACACCACTGACGCCTCTATCATAGCA